AGGGTGAAAATTTGATGACGTTACCACCGGAGCATCACCGCCCGGATATTTCGACCGCCGAGTAGCAAACCCAGGACGTAGGTAAGAAGCCGCAAATACATTTTATGTGAATGCATGAATGAAATCTCGTTACCCTAGATGAAGTAGACGAAACAAAAATTACATAAGCCCCTAGTTAAATAAACGGTTAAAAGTTTTCAGTGGTGATAATTGAACATTAGTATGTGGGTGTAACTAAATGTTCAGATCGTCCTAATAACCGCACGACCACTGAGTTTTCAATGCGCTGATTCAAGAAGCAAAACCAGAGGCTGCATAGTACACAGATATGTCTAATAGACAAGGCACACGGAATCGATCACTCGATCGATCGCAGTCAGTATGTTTGATGAGGAGCCCCAACAATTTGTATTTACACTACAAATACCGGAAGTGCCGCACGCGATAAACGAGGTTCAGACAAGTATAGATACACTTTTAACTAAAATACTTCGTTTCTTGTTTGTTGAGCTGTCGGAAAACATGATCGTAAGACGCTCACGCTAAGTACGGTCAGAATAAACATTGGATACAAACATCCTTGANNNNGCCATATGTCGAACAATCGGTAAACAGACCTCTTCAACCACAGCAACAGGACACTGGTATGCCTCTGATGGGAAGTGAAGAACCTCGTATTTGTCCTTATCAGTAATCCGAGATGTGCTATCACAGCAAGCAAATAATCAAGCAGACTGTGAGTGGGCAGGCTTTGTCAAACTGCGACAGAAACAAGTAGTGTAAACACANTAAACACATATGCGATACAGGCACAAAACTATTTTCGTTTTTTTACACTAAAAGTATGAGCGGTATAATTGACGATCAGTAACATAAAATGAGTTGTTCCTATTCTGAAGGGTACCGTCTGTTACAGTTAATCAAACTATTGGCATCCATTGTCATCAAATTGATTTGTGATAATCACCTCAATAAACGAAGTACGAAATTCGCTGACTGAATCCGTCGAATTGTCAATAAACTTTACAGAGAAATCACTCGGCGAGGAAGGGAATCTGAGACGTAAATTTGGCAACCTTCTCGGAAACAATCGATCATGAGCACCAACGGCACCCTCAGTAGATGGAATTCCTTATCTAGCAGGTAGAACGCTTTATTATTGAGGTTTAATTCATCCGGTTCAGGACCGATTAATTTACTAATAACTCACCAGTATGAGAGTTTTCGTGTTGAAGACCTCTACATTCAGGGGGTGACGACGCTTCATTACCTGTAGTTTATTTGGTTGTAAACTACTCCGAGTAGCAGCTGGCAACGGGCTTTGGTGAATGCCCAACAAGCTACTTGGGGAATATTACGTATTAGAAGAGTGGTGGGCTGAGGGAAAGTTGGTGTTACCCACCGGCTCGATGCGCAGCGCGATGCGATTATCCCACGACACTCCGTGTAATTCACTATAGTTTTTGTATTCATTGGGGTTTGGTGGAGGGACTGCTATGGAGTCCAGGAGAACTATCAGGGTCCTAGAACAAAGCCTATAGGTTTGAAAAGAGTCTGAAAGCAAGGCAGCAGATAAGGCAAGATGGAGGTACACCAAATGGGATCACTTATTTCTACATCATTGTTGTCGACTGAGACACCTACTCGAGTACAACCCCAACCCAGATAACCGAGACAGAATTGTTCTGACCTTTCATATGTGATAAGCTCTTTTGTCTTAATAAAAGCCTTTCTATGCAGCTTGTTGGGTCACACCCGTACAGGCGATCGCATTAATTCAAGATGCAATTTCTTCATGATGGCAGTGAACACGAATTCACTCTGCGATGCAAAGTCCATCAAAGAAATTTCTTTAGAGTAGAATGATTTTTCATAAGAGGAGACCACACAGCATGCGCGCCACACACAGAAAAGGAAAACGAGTTGTAACCACTTACTTTAACTGCAAGGCACAAATAGAACGAGGCTGACTCCAGCTGACCGTACGATGTGGTCTCTGTTGTTGGTCGATGATGTTGCGATAGGTGTTGCTGATGCCGTTCTAGTTGGGTACTTGATTCTACCACCATGGCTGCAGCGTCCAGCAAGCACTCCACTAGGCAAATGATTGGTCGACCAGGCAATCCGATCCACGCTGAGTCTGTGGTGTGGCTTGGACAAACCGGGGAACTGGTAGCGGCGGATTGCAGATGCAATGCATCACTGTTGAATTCCGGCATAGTTCCAAGGCCGGAAACGGATGGATAGGGTAAGGAAACATTGCCATTTATACCACTATTGTTCACACCGTTCAGACTTAAAGAACGATGTGGAATCGTATGATGAGGAGTCGGGCGTCCGGGGAGTTTTGGGGAAACTAATTGTCGACTACTATTGGGAAGATAATTTGCAGTACTAAATGCATATGGTGAGGGATTTGACTGTGAAAAATGGTGCGGATAATGGTAAGGGGAATAATGATGAAACGGTGGTGGTGGAAGAGGAGGCTGGGGGACAGGAGACGGCGCATTCGGGTATGCATGCATTATGTGAGGAAACGAGGAGACAGATGAAGGAGAATGAGTGGTATAGGATGGCAGAGACGGAGCAGAAGGATGAGGTGGTGGAATAGATTTGTACACAGAGGCAGGTGGACCGGAACCAAGATTGTTGCGATTTGCCGGACTGGAACACATTGGACTGGAATTGGGTCCTGGAGAGAGGACATGTCTGCGTGAACCAGGTCGTGGAATCGCCGCAGAGATAGGAGGAGATATAGACGACGGTCGGGGAGAAGGCAATCGTCCAGACGAATGATATTTCGAATGATTCGATATGGTCGAGGACGGCGAGAGCATACCATCTGAGTGAGGACAACGAATAAAGGCGCACAATTCAATGGTGGCTGTGAGTCTACAGAAAGTAGATTAACTATTCAACCAATAATACAATAATAATAATAACCAGTCAATCAATCGAAACCGAACAAAATGAGCTCAGCATTGTTGATTTGCTGGTTGACACAGAACCGGGCAGGTGTAGGCAAAGGAACATCAAAGTTGCCTTTGAATTTCGGTCTGCACGACTAGCAGTCGGCGGATAGAGCAGTAAGTGCAAATGGGTCAAGTAGGCAGTGTAGCAAAGTCGCACGAAAACGCGTGCGACTGACGACGGTGTCACTTATTGTATCTTAGAGAATATCAAGTAAGAAATAGATACCAAGTGTGAAATAATAATCAATTTTTGTGATACAAACAGCCCCCTCGCCCCCAAAAGAGTTCACCGTGCGCATGCAGCTAGTACTGATCACAGAAATGAACAGCCATCGACTGCTCGTGAAGCAAACGAGGTGAAACACTGTTGCGAAGGTGGAGAAACAACCCTTGTTTATAAACAACGGTTGTCACAATGGGTGTGCGATCGGCGGAGTGATTAACTGCCACGTCGTGTCCTCACTGAACTATTAGAATGACATTTTCTCTTCCCTATTCATTTGCCCGTTAGTGCACCAAAACTGGGTTGTTTGAGGCACGCACAGCATGGGACGTGCTTTGGCATACATGTCAGTTTATTCCTGTGTGCTTACACANACACACACACACACACACACACACACACACGACAGCCGATCGATCAACGGTCATCGAATGCAACCGACCGCAAACAGTCATCCGCGTGTGTTACGTCGAGCACGTACTCGTGTCACTCAGTCTGCCAACAAGCTAACCACCATCGCTCATTCGCGCGATTCCTACGCCGGATGACTACACAGAGCACATCGATCGGATACGCGAGGATGGAGGTGGGCCGACGATGTGTGAGCACGAATCAGGTAGAGAGAGAATAGCAAAAGGATGAGGGAGAGACAAGTGACGGATGAGCAAGTTTGTGTACAAAATGGCGACCAGGTAGTTCGAGCACATTTTGGGAACAATTAGATTCGCACTCGGCATACATGTGCGCAAACATTTCACGCTCGCGTCGATTGTATACTTAAGGGAAAGTACTGCTTCTGTGCCAGTCAGTAAACAAAGAGGAGCCAGAAACTGAAAAGAGTGCCTGACGAGTGGCAAGAACCGCGAAACCGATCGTGTGCTTCCAGAGAAATTGTCCGGTCATTCACATACTACTTATATATGTTCTGCACCATAAAACAAGGTTTGGATGAGGATGCCAACATCACATCACCCAGTCTCCAGTTAAGTATTTAAAATACAATTAAGAAGCTGATGGATCTTAACCACGGCGAAAATACAGAAGCGGTTGTTTTCGGACAATCAACTGATTGCCTGGGTTTGCGTCGTAGGTGGGGAGTAATTAGGGCTATCAGTCAAGCGAATAACAGTAGCAATAGCATGAAGGTGGGCTATGTATAAACATGTGTAGTTGAGAAGAAGTGCCCGTACAATAGGGAGAAGGAAACAAAAAGAAATCAGTCCTCATCTACAACAGGCCTAGAAGCAATATTAGTTAGCAAGGGTTGTATCAATTAATCCAAGTCTTTTGCCTATTACACACCAGTGTGTGATGAACAGCAGACGGGGCGAACCCCATTGTCACGAGGACCTGCTGTTCAGTGATGGAAACCGACAATCTAAGCCCCGGAACTTGGAGTGGCGAACCACATAAGGCCCCGATAGGTTAGGCGTGGTATTGAACCGGATGACAGTGAGGCTGCCTACCACCAAAGTTGGGTGGCGGTGACGAGGTTTGAACCTCAGACCTCAGGGTCCAAAGCACGCCGGTGACCGCGACTAAACCACTGCGCCATCACCACCGTCGCTTGACGATAAAAATGGACCGCATAACTCCGCATATTTAATTAACATAAAATAGCACTGACGAGGGATTAGAAAAAATTGAGACTGATTATCCCCCATGAGCGAAATGAAGAATATTATTTATTAATATTAAAAGCAAACAAGACGGGTTAAGATGGCATAACAAAGTCTTATTTCGATCAATATCACGTAGTAACCACATTCTGGTATTCCCTAAAAACGAACCTTGAGCAAGTATCACTGCTGCGAGATACGTTGCATAAAAAAAATATGAAAGGTTAAATTTTCCTGTGGTAACTCTAAGTAAGCACAAATGAACGACCGGTCAGGGTCAAAGGCAACGCCTCACGAGGTGGGACGTGTGCAGTAGATGTTGCTTTGAGTGCTGCTGACACGAAACTGAGGACAACAGACAAGCGGAACGACAGCAGGATAAGGTGCTGGACCTCCGGTGACCAATAGACCGGAACAGGACATCCGTCCCCAGGGAGAAACGCCGCAGTCATTCATCCTGATCAGTGTTTTTCTGCCAGCAGATAAAGAAATCGCCCCCCCCCCCTTCAATGAATGAGGGATTACTGAGGAGGAAGAAGGTGAGTCGGGAGTTTTGTGTTGGGGTCAAACAATGAGGCACTCAAGCGTGAACCCGCAAAATATAGTTGGACCCAGTGAGTGATAGGACGTAACTCAAGCGCGGCAGTGAAGTACTGTCGTAATCGTGAACAGTGTGATTCAATACGGACTAACAGTTCACATTGAGGTCAAGAGCAGACCGGCATGCGTTAAAAGCTGCCATATATTTGTGTAAGGTAGAGATAGAAAACTACGTGCTTGGCTGTTAACAATATGCGAAAGATGTTTGCGATAATTTAAGTGTGCCAAAAAACTGAACAAGATAACCGAGCAAGAACCAAAATAACGTAGATTAATTCATACGAGACTGTGCTCATATCGCCAGGTACATCAAGTGTGAAAGTGTAAGAGTATAATAAAACAGAAAACATGCAAGTCTGCCAATGTCTTAATGACCCAGAGGGCAAGATATGCCACAACAGTTCTTAATATGACGTAGAATCACCATCTCCGTCTTCTTCGATCTGAAAGCAGCCTTCGACCGAGTAGAACGCACTAAATTCTGGATATGCTTTGCCCTGAAGGGTCGCCTGATAAGTTTATTTCAATAATACGATCCTATTACACTAATAGACGAAGCCGAGTCCGAGCTTACGCCAGTTTGTCGCTATAGTTCATCACGGAAAGTGGTGTTCGTCAGAATTGCCCTCTCTCTACTTTTCCGTTTAACTTTGTTATAGGTTTGATTATGTAGACAACCCTATCCTTGTGCGAAGATAATGGCATCGACTTGCTCCCAGACGGTAGATTGAGTAAGCAGACGACATTGTGCTGCTAAGTGAAGATCCAGGTAAGTTGCATGCTTTTCTGGACAGTCTGAGTGCCAGTGTAGCCATGTTCGGTATGCGTTTTGCACCTTCAAAGTGTAAAATGTTGCTACAAGACTGGGCTGTTCCGGCATCCAGTCTCACTATAACTGCGGAAGTAATAGAGCAAGTGGACAATTTTTGTTATTTGGGCAGCTATATCTCACCCGGCGGATGTATCACAGATGAATTGTTAGCATGCGTGCAAATCTTCGTCATTGTAGGTATCAAAGACGATAGCACCATCTCCAAAAAGCCAATACATTAGGATAGGAGAAAGTCTGCAATCAGCATTCAATCCACCAACCAATTCCGGCCTCCAATGGAGAAAGATATTGCAGTTTAGTAGTTACTCTCACCGCATTAAGTTACACAAAGTGACAACCAATTTTGCTTCGGCTGTAGCAGCCCATTTCTAATAATCAACAATTCGCCGTTCAAAAACTTCAACTATGACTAAAAGGTCAGTAGTGAGCCAAATTGTCTTTCAAACTGATTTATTACCCATAATAATAGTTATAAATAATAATAATAATAATAATAATAATAACAATAATATCGATAGAGAACGATATTCCATACATTTTTCTTTGTCTTTCTTTGAACCCATGGCGTGGTAGGCGTGAGTGAGATACCGGTCAACACAAGTATTGTAAAGCTCAGCGAGTGTGGAAACAAGGTAAGCGTCGATAGGAAGAACGCGACATTATTGTTCATCACTAGTGATCGGTCCTGATCTAACTTTATGAATCATATATGAAAAACTACTCAGCACAAACAAGCACCTGACAACCGGTAATGGGCTTTTATAGCAAACGCTCAAGGAAAAAAGTACAAATGAATCATTCCAACTATACATAAGTTACCCATCATCAAAGCGAAGTGATATTAAACAGTAACATTCGTTTTTGCCGACCCGTTGAGCTTGGCGATATCTAACACCTTCAGATGTCACCTCAGCTGGTGCTGAAAAGTTTGCATACAAATTGTCAAACTCGGTGAAGAAGCGGAAACGAATATTGCAAGTTACCCGAGTCAGGAGAAACAATATTCAATGCTTTACCAGATTACAACATTTCCAGTGAAATACGAAAACGAGCAAACAAAGAACTGAATATTCGGTAAATTTAGCTAGGAGCATTAACTTACTGGTTGGGGTATAACGGCCAGCGTTGTTGTACAGTGGCGGAGGGTTGACGTAACCGTTCATCGTGGGCACTCGGCCACTGACGCTGCTTCCCGCGAATAGTGATCGACGCACGCTTGCTTCGCTGTTATGTGCACCATTCCAAAACGCCGTAGATTTGCATGCACTGTTACGCATTAAACACGACACTAAGGAGTTGTTCGCACTGGCTGCTTTGGATTTGAATCCACGGAGCAGGCGCTGACTGATGAACACGGCCAGACGCAAAGCTTGCATTTGATAACCGTTGGCGCGAAGAGCAGCCACACGTAAACATAATAAGGGAAACGGTTCGTTTAGCTGTCCAGTTTGTTCGCAATAGGGACACTGGCAATCCCGAGATGTGTGCGGTCGTCCTTGCCCAACTGGACCACGACGTGAAGTGTTCGATGATGGCCGGCGAAATGGTTCACTTGTTACGCTACCTGTTTCGTCCATCTCAACAGAACTGCGTCCTGGAGGCGAATCGAATGTCACATCCAGATCACTGGTGGCGTCACACTTTTTCATACTTTCTAAACCGACTAGACGACGCAAGCAATCGTCGTTCCAAGACAGAAAACTGGCTTCGAGAGGCAGTTGGAAAACTGATGCACGACGACTGCTCATACGACCAGACGGTTGCGGTTGCGAAGTGGACGAAGATACCTGTGAGGTGATCATGTTCATATCTTCCTCGAGTTCTGATTGATCCCGAACAGTAGCGAAGTAGTGCCCAGGTACTGCGTAGGCCTCATCACGTGGACAGCGATGAGCGCGAACCCAAGACAATAAACGATTGCGCCATTGTCGTCTAGCCTCAGCACTGCAATCGGGATTAAGCACTACACACGTCCACAAGACACACACTTCTTCCCATAAGCGAGTAGTCCAAGTAGGTAATTGAATAGAGGAAATAGAACTTGGATGAGAGAATGAATTTGTTCCGAGGTTTGACTCCGGAGAAGGATTGGGGCTGAGTTGTTGAGCCGAGAGCGAGCGAGTTAGTCCGGGCATGGACATACGGCCTGGCATATCTGTGGTGCGATGTGTTCGGCGAGCTTTAAGCAGCTACGAATGACAAGATATTTGAAAAAACTTTTGACAGAGATTCAAAAACTGACATACACGTGTCATAAAATGATTCGTTGCATGGATGGGATTAAATCACAACAAACAGAAGATAATGGCAACCGATAAGTGCTAAAACGGCCAAACGATATGATCCGACTGTTTTGGAAAATTCTGATGCAGACTAAGAGATAAAAAAATACTTTTCAATTCTTTTCTGGCACTAAAATTAGTGTGAACAATTATCAAAGCTACATAAATCACACACTTACTATCGGGCAAATCTTAAAACAGACACTTCTTACAAGTTAGTTGTTGGTTTTTCTCCATCTAACATTCAGCTTCGCATCGTTTCCTGTTTTTGTTGTCTTTCCAAGGTGCGCCAGATAATTCGGTCCATATTATACGTTCATTACACAGAATAGCTCAGGGCGATTCGGATCCAGTTGTAGAGATCCTCGTAGTTCATCCCCGTGAGCTACAGTCTCTTCAATGTAGCAGTGGATATGCTTAAAGAAACTTATATATATATTAAGGCCAAGATAATGAATCAGCTTTTCCCAAGAAAAGTCATCCTAGTACACTGACAATACTTTACTTCTCAGTGAGATCCAGCTGAGAGTTTACGTGGATAGAATCAGTAACAGTTCGATCGTATTTGGTGTACACCCTGAACGTTGTACCGTAGCAGGATCGGTTTGATCTCATAACGAATGTCATGTGTGAGGATTTAATTTCTTCCAATTAATCCGTTCTCATTTTTTTAATTACAGAATCTTGTGTGACAAAATGGAGACGAGGTAAATACCACAGTCACGAGGAGCTGCTGCTCAGCGAACTAAGTGGGTAAACAAACGACAAGAACTAAAACCACCGAACGGCAGTGCAGAGTCAATGGTCGGTTAAACCGTAACTTCCACAATTACGGATGAATTTTAGATAACGTTTCATTGCACGTGCAGAAAACTTGGTTGGTTCTTGCCAATCCCGAAGTTATCAGTGATATCCAAACGATATTTGTTTATAGTTCGAAGATTTCATGTGTACGGCGGTTATACGACGTTATAGCATTTGCCTGGTGGGATAAAAAAAAACTAGCCATGCTGAGGTCACAAAATATTGCAATGGAAAGAGGTACTTGAATCCCAAATACAGAAATGACCAGCATCTATTTTACTTATCTTCACAAACGTCCCCAATGAGTGTTAATCGAAGGTGAAGTATGGGTGCTCAACCAATGATCGGAAGAAAAACTTTTACCAGAATGAATGGACCAAGCGGGAATCGCCTGAATGACAAATTGAGACATTAGGTGTCCGATTAATCATTTTCCTTATTCATGTGCGAATCAAAATGGCCGGAGCCTACAACAAGCAGGTAATCCAGTTCGTTCCATTAATTTCGATAGAAAAGGTTCCGATTCAATGTATTTCAAGAGAGTGTTTATTAAAAATCTCAGCCGAGTTCAGTGATGTATTATCATATCTCTTCTGGTTGCAATTGTATCGTGCCATGAAAATTGGTGTTATTCCATCCTACGCAGGAAAATTGAGGAAAAAAGTTAAATGCAAGCAGAAGCAATTGAAAAGGACACATTGAAAAAGAATTAAATCAACCTTAAGGGATCAGATGTAGTTGATTTTTTCAGTGTCTTTTGAGGTTTGACGAAGACGAAACAATGACTAAAGGCACTGAGAACAGAAACGTCAAAATATTCGCATCTTCGGTTTAAATTTGGGGACATATTCCTTTGAGATTTTTAGCGAACAGCACATCTTAGGATCTGGTCGAATCAGCAGACAATGTCCTCTCTAACGTTACACTATACATATTCGAAGCAACGGCAACGCCAGC